TTCTCTGTTTGTAAACAGCAGGTCAACCAAGTCACCTCCCCGGGTAGGCTCACTTACCAGCTGTGTCAGGAAGTTATCCTCCACACACTCCAGGAACCTCCTAGACTGTTTCCTCTCTACTGTGTTATACTTCCAGCTGATGTCTGGCAGATTGAAGTCCCCTACAAGAACAAGGGCTAGTGATTGCGAGACTTCTACCACTCGCTTATAGAATGTTTCATCTGCCTCTTCATCCTGGCTGGGTGGTCTATAACAGACTCCCAGCAGGATATCTGCCTCGTTGGCCTTCCCCCTCATCCTTACCCATAAGCACTTGACTTGGTCTTCACAATCGTTGAGCTCTATACAGTCGAAACACTCCCTAACATACAGAGCCACCCCACTGCCTCTCCTTCCTTGCCTATCCCTTCTGAAGAGCTTATAGCCATCCATTGCAGCACTCCAGTCATGAGAGTCATCCCACCATGTTTCTGTGATGGCGACTACATCATAGCTGTCCCGCTACACAATGGCTTCCTGCTCCTCCTGTTTGGTGCCCAAGCTGCGTGCATTGGTATAGATGCACTTGAGCTGGGCTATCAATTTCACCCCCAGCTCTGGCATGCCACCCCTAGGCTCATCTCTGCTGAGCCTGGTTTTATCTCCCTCCCCCTTCAAATCTAGTTTAAAGCCCTCTCGATGAGGCCTGACAGCTTGCAAGCAAGAATCCTTTTCCCCCTTGGAGACAGTTGCACTCCATCTGCTGCCAAGAGGCCCAGTAAACCACCTTGTAAACCACCCCATGGTCAAAAACCCCCAAATTCTGCCGACGGCACCAGCCCGAGCCATGTGTTGACCAAGAGTGCTTTCCTATTGCTTTCAGTGTTCCTCCCTGTCACTGAAGGGATTGACAAAAACACTACCTGTGCTCCCGCTCCATCAGCCGCCCCAGCACTCTGAAGTCCCTTTTAATTGACTTTGGACTTCTTACCACAACCTCATCATTGCCAACCTGTATGACCAACAGCGGGTAGTAACTATGTGAATGCTCACATAGAGCAGAGGTTCAAGGATGTGTGAAATAGCAGCAGCTTCAGAGGGGAGGGACTTGGCTGTCATTGGGCTGTGGAAGGGTGCATGGGTAAGTTAGGCATCTACCAAACGTTTGTGGTCTGAGAGGAAATGCTTGACCCCTGTAGCAGGGGACAATGTCATCTATGTAGTATAAAAGACACGGTGACAGGTGGCTTAAACCATAACAGATGATTTTGTGTGTCAGAGCAAACTCCAACTGAAACATTCTGCTACTGGTTCCTCCCAATTGAAGCACATGGCTGTGTCTGTAAATCCAAGTCCAGAGATGGACCCGTCGTGTATGGGTACCGTCTTGCACCCCCACAGGCTTCTTCATTGCATGTGATCAAGAGTACACTTTTCTGACAGGCAGTGCTGGGGGTGGGGAAGGAGATAAGAGTCTCCACAGCAAGCCACCTCTGGTATTTATGGTCTCTACCATGCCCTTTTTCTGTAATCCTTCTATTCTGGATAGCTTGTCCAACTTCAGTGCCAGAGATACTTATTCCAAGTCTGTTTACATTCTTGAGGTGGGGCCTTTCTCACCTGGCATGCACTATAACGCATGTGGGTGTAAAGCTGCTCTGCCCTCAGTGACCTGTTTTTGCCTTTTCCTGCTCTAAGAACACCAAGGCTCAGCAACATCTGTAGTTCAACCAGAGCAAAAAGAGGAAAGGAAAAAACCTCAAGTGGGTGATCTCAGTGAGGAATTAACAGATCTGGTTTGACATGGTTCAAGTTTTCTTTGGTTTCACAGTTCATGCAGGGCCTCAGTTGGCACAGAAATTAAAAAAAAAAAGGTTACCTTGACCTTAAAAAAAAAAGGTAATAGATATTTCAGTGTTCACTGAAGCCACCTGACTGAATAGTCAAGAAAGCAAAAGCATTTACCTAATCAAAGAGGTTCCATCTGGGAGTTGAGAGCCGTTTACTATAATTATTCTTTTTAGGCCATCAGGGTCCTGCAAGGGTGAGAGCCTTGTGCTAGGCACTGTGCAAACACGCAGAAACAAATGGTACCTATCCCCACAGGCTACAGTCTAGTTAAGCAAATGAAAAAGGTTTAAAAGATAAAATTATTTAGCCACAGCTAGATCAGGATGAAAATGACTATCCTGTGATTTTCAGGTCTAGATCAGGCCTAGACCCTGTCCCTTGAAGAAACTATAGCCTACCACCTGCCCTTTGTTGTGTACCCCTGAGTTGTGTGCTGAGGGGAGTGAGGAGGCCAGGGGGGCTCCATGGCACTGCCAGCCTTTGGCTCGCAGTGTGAGGGAGCAGCAAGGGACAGCTGCTCCTAAGAGAAAGTGAGCTTGGAACTGAGCATCATGGCAGCACAGGCAGTGCCCTCATGGACTGGGCACAGCCCCACAGGGTCTGAACACCACAGGCAGAACAGGGTGCTAGTAGCAGAGTCCTTCAATGGTCCCAGGCAAGGCAAGCGATGAGCCAGGTCCAAGGTTCACCCAGAGAGTCCAGTAGGGACAGAAACGAAAGAGGGGTCAGAGGTAGGACAGGAGACAAGCTACAACGAGTGCCTGCAGGGCTCAACCTGGAGAAAAGCTGCCTACAACAAATTTCTGAGTGCCATCCAAGGAGGCAGGGCCAGAGGCAGGCCTAGAGACAGGCACACAACATCTGAAGGCCCAGGGCTGAGCTGAAATGGAGACTCCAGGCCCATGGGCAAGGGGTGTGGGTGGAGGCCCCAGGTGGGATTGGCCTAATAGACAATAAGGCCTTTTGGTGAACTCAGGACCCTGACATTCAGCTGAAACTGCCAGCAGAAAACCATACATGGTAGCTATTTTGACAACATGTTCTCGGCTTCCTGGGCAATGGGTTTAGATCCACTAGTCACTTCACTGAGGTTATGGGAAGCAAATATTAAATGGCTAGAGTTTCCATTCATTCCAGGCCAGGGTAGATGTGAAGTAGCACCCTATTCCTTCTCCCCATGGGCCATATGTCTAGGTCTCTGTCCTGTCCCCTTGCTAATACAGGAAGGCACCCAGCATATTGCTAGGTCAGCTTATGTAAGAAGGTGGCACCCAGTGCAGGACTGGATTAAAAAAAATTCTGTTAACACAGCTTTACCCTGCTGGTTAGTTTCCCTGTGTGGACAGGTGGAGATATGCGGAACCTGCTACACCAGTGTAGCCCCAGAGGAAATATGCTGGTCATGAATGGATGCAGTTACCTATCCTAATGGTCAAGTAGATGGGTGGGGAGGCAATGAGACTGCACTCTTTATGCCAGATGTACCTCTAAACACGCAGTCTTCATGCAAAAGCATGAATCTGTCTAATTCTTAGCACTCCATATATAATGTTTTGGAAGGAGTTTGATATTCTTTGTTGCCCAGTAAATGGATTGTTGCTATCACTAGAGGCAAGCCACAGGTCTTGTAGTAATTTAACAGCTCAAGACTCACCAGTAACTGTCTTGAGTGGCCACAGGTCTCTTTCAGATATAACTTCAGAAAGTTGTAAGAGTCAGGAAAGAGTTGGGAGGGCTATCTCCTATCGCTTAACACTGATTCTGCATATTTATCATATTTTAGATATAACTTCAGAGATTTATCACTATCAGGAAAGAGTCAGGAGAGCTATCTCCTATAGCTTAACTCTTATCAGATGTGGTAGAGGTCTAACATTACTAAGTAGCCACCATGTAACTGACCCATGGGCCAGTAAGAAGCAGGTTGTTTAAGAAGTATAAAAATAACTCCAGGAAAACCTAAGATCAAGGAGGAACTCCCCTCTCCTTTCCTCCATTGAATTTATCCCAGCAGAGAACTCAGGATATTGATGGCTCACTGCAAACCACCTCTTTGAGATGGTTTTTCTTAGAGAAAAGACTAGCATGACTGAACATCAGGACGCAACACTGGAGAAATGGTTAGATACTACAGAGCCTATGTATATAAATTCTAACTGTATCATTATTGGGATTTAGCAATAATTGAATAATTTGTATTATATATGTTAGTATCATTTTAAATGGATTAATATTTTTGCTGTCAAGGCACTAATGAGACTAATGATAAATACGCAACTTTCATTTGGTGCAACACACTCTGACAGCAGATGTACAATGGCATGAGCACCACGGATACCACCTCTGCCAGGGGGATGAACACACTAAGCCCTACAGCTCTTAGAGGTAACTGAAGGCTTTTGCCTCCTGAGGTGCAAGAGTTCCTCTTAAGACTGAGCTATGGAAACATAATACCTTGTGGCTAGACCTAGTAATCTGAAGTCTACATATTATCTAATGAAAAAATTATTTGGATTATTCTTCTACAACTCCAGTTGTAGAAGTTGTTTCATGCCAGTTCACATACTCATAGGCAGAATACAGAAAGGCTTAACTGGAATTATGTATGTTTCCTAACATGTCTGTTGAGGTTATTGTGTGACTAGTAGCTATGCAAAGTTTCCTCATTCCTGTTATTTTTCCTGGCTCACCTAACTTCTGGGCTATATATTTGTGCATCACTCGTGGATACAGGTTCCTCCTGGAACTGTAGAACAGCATAGCTGGTATGTATCTCAATATCTTGTATCTGTTAAACATTTCAAACATAGCTTCTAATCTAAAAAGTGCTTCCCTTTCTTTCTCTTTCAGTACTCTAACAAGAGGTATATCAGATGGATTCTGCAGCAGCCTATGCCTCTCTGGTGAAAGATGTTAATTTGAGTTCACAACAGATTGTCATCCATGTCAGCTGTTGCTCATTGGAGATGAAGCCATCTGAGTGCTGGTGAGCACCAATGGGCGTGTGCTAATTGCAGCATCTTGTTATGGGAGAGGCCGGATGGTGGTTGTTTCCCATCAAGGAATCTCGAAGGACTCCAAGTTTTCCCAGTTCCTCAGAAATGCTGTGGAGTGGCTCAAGCCTTCCCCTGAGGCCCTGGTTGGGGTCCATCCTCATTTGGATTCCCTCTCCCAGCTGCTGCTCAGGGCTGGCAGCAAAGTACAGGCTGGGGCAGAGCTCAGCCCCTCCCTGGGGGGGAGCAAAGTACAGGCTGGGGCAGAGCTCAGCCCCTCCCTGGGGGTGTACTGTATGGATGCCTATGATGCCACACAGGCAAAACACCTGGTGCACTTTGTAAAGGAGGGTGGAGGGCTGCTCCTTGGTGGCCAAGCCTGGCACTGGGCTAGTCGACATGGTAAGGAGAAGGTGCTGTTTGAATTCCCTGGGAACCAGGTGACCAGCGTGGCTGGTGTGTACTTCACAGGCAGCGAAGGAGAGACTGGCACTTTCTCAATGTCCAAAGAAGTGGTGAGAATTTCTCTGATCACCCAGTGAGTATTTAAATATTTGTTTGCACTCTCTTTAGATTGCACATAGTGTTTGCTCGGGCTTGGATTTTCTGCTATTGGCCTGCTGGAATGAAAAAGATCTCTTCTCCCTGTCCCCCAGAGGAAATGACCATGAATAGAGGTGGATGTGCAGGAGCTGAAGGTGCTTCTGCAAGTTGTTGAGAAACTACCAAGAAGCTTGGATCATGTGCTCCATGTTAAAATATTCAACAGATGATTGTACAGGAAGAAAATTTTGGTTGTGTCTACTCTGCAGTGCTATGGCACATTTAGACTTCTTTTTCCCACTATGTCAATAGCACAGTTATGGGGCCACTTCCTGAGGTATTTAAATCCTTCCTGATGTAGGACGCAAAAGATGACCTTTTTCTTTCCTGCTAATCTCCTGTGGCATGGTGTAAACTTTAAGGCATTTGTAACAGAGTTCTTAGCTTTGTTATAACGTGTTGCAGCACTTCAGGGTACACTTCAAAGTCCCTGGGAACCATGGGATAGATACTGCATGGATCCATGAGTCTTGGATATTATCCACATAGGGTCCTTGATCTAGCCATGCATTCCCCACTAGCTTGTGTGTTGCTGTTGTGGTTTAGCCCCAGCTGGCAACTAAGCACCACGCAGCTGCTCACTCAGTCCCCCTCCCGCAGTGGGACGGGGGAGAGAATTAGAAAAAAAACTCGTGGGTTGAGATAAACACAGTTTAATAGGACAAAAAGAGAGAAAGAAACAACAATGATAACAACAATAATAATACCGACAAAGGAATGTACAAGAACGAGTGATGCCCAATACAGCAATTGCTCACCACCCAGCGATTGATAACCCGCCACCGAGCAGCAATTTCTGCCCCCCAGCTAACTCCAGTTTATGTACTGGGCACGACGTTGTATGGTAGGGAATATCTCTTTGGCCAGTGTGGGTCAGCTGTCCTGGCCGTGTCCCCTCCCAGCTTCCCATGTACCCCCAGCCTCCTTGCTAGCAGGCCAGCACAAGAAGCTGGACTGTCCTTGACTACTTAGCAACAACCCAAAACATCAGCACATTATCAACAGTTTCTCATCCCAAATCAAAGACATAGCCTCACACTAGCTTCTGTGAAGAAAATCAGCTCTATCCTGGCTGAAACCAGGACAGTTGTGTAGATGAGTGCTGGTGGAGGCAACTAGACTCAGTAGCATAGATGATCCTTTCCTGCCCAGTGCTGCGAATAGAATAGAACAGTTCAGTTCCAGTTGGAAGGGATCATCTAATCCAACTGCCTGACCACTCAGGGCTGACCAAAAGTTAAAGTAAATTATTAAGGGCATTATCCAAATGCCTATTCAACACTGACAGGCATGGACCAGCTCTCTAGGAAGCCTGTTCCAGCATTTGATCATCCTCTCGGTAAAGAAATGTTTCCTAACGTCAATTCTAAACCATCCCTGGTGCAGCTTTGAACTATTCCCATGCATCCTATCACTGGATACCAGGGAGAAGAGATTAGCATCTCCCTCTCCACTTCCGCCCCTCAGGAAGCTGGAGAGAGCAATGAGGTTGCCCCTCAGCTTCCTTTTCTCCAAACTAGACAGACCCAGAGTCCTTGGCTGCTCCTCAGAGGATGTGCCTTCCAGCCCCTTCACCAGCTGTCTTGCCCCCCTCTGGATGCATTCAAGGACCTTAACATCCTTCTTAAATTGTGGACCCCAGAACTGCACACAATACTCAAGGTGAGGCCACACCAACACTGAATACAGCAGGATAATCACCCCTGTGGACCGGCTGGTTATGCTGTGTTTGATGCACCCCAGGGTGCGGTTTGCCCTCCTGACTGCCTGAGCACACTGCTGGCTCTTGTTGAGCCTGCTGTCAGCCAGCACCCCCAGCTCCCTTTCTGCAGGGCTGCTCTCCAGCCGCTCCTCTCCCAATTTATACTTATGTCTCGCATTGCTCTGTCCCAGGTGCAGAATCTGGCATTTGTTCTTGTTAAATGAATGCCATTAATGATTGGCCAGTGCTCCAATCTCTCCAGATCTTTCCGCAAGGCCTCTTGTCCCTCCAAAGAGTCAACAGCACTTCCCAGTTTGTTATCATCAGCAAACTTTCTAAAAGTGCCTTCAACTCCTGCATCCAGATCATTGATAAAAATATTGAACAGAACTGGCCCTAGAATTGAGCCCTGAGGAACACTGCTAGCGACTGGCCACCAGCCAGATGTAGCCCCATTCACTACAACCCTTTGAGCCCTGCCCTTCACCCAGGTCTTCACCCAGGGCACCGTGTATCTGCTCATCTCACAGTTGTGCAACTTGTCCAGGAGGATGCTATGATGGACAGGATCAAAAGCCTTACTAAAATCCAGAAAAACTACATCTACCGCTTTCCCATCACCCACTAGGTGGATGACCTTGGACTGTTGGAGTTAAGGCACTTTCTTTTCTTGTCACATGTCCCTGAAAGCAGTGATAATTCTTCACGGAATTTCTCATAAATAAGGTGGGAATTTGAAGCTCTATAATTGGACCTTATAATGCTACATAAGGAAGAATATTACAGCTTCATCTCTGTCTCAGAGTTGTGGTCAGACAAGGATAATAGACCATGTCATGATAACAAGATTCGTCTCTGGCAATGCTCAGGAGGCAGCTCTCTGAGGCAATAAGCCATTGTCTTCACAGTAACTTGTCAGGTGTGCTGCACTACCAATGCATTTGGAACATGCTGATGGACATCTGAATCATGGAATAGTTGAGGTTGGAAGGGGCCTCTGGAGGTCAGTTGCTCCAATATCTGCTCAAAGCAGGGCCACCTAGAGCAGGCTGCTCAGGGCTTTGTCTAGTCAAGTACTGAATATCTCCAAGGACAGAGATTCTATAACCTGTCTTGGCACCTGTTCAGTGTTTAACCACCATTATGATGAAAAAAATTATCCTTAGATACCAGGATGGAGAGGCAGGCAGGCAACAGAGGTCAAAGATTAGACTGAAGCCTGTGGTAAAGAGACAAGCAAGAGAGCAGATGACTCTGCAACTCTGAAAACAACTATCACAGTTTTAACACTTTACTACCTGGTTGCCATTTGTTCTATGACTGGAGGTCATCACCTTAAAGTGGAACTGTTAGAAGAAAGAGGGTCAGAGGCCCTAGACTTCCTGAAAGCAAAATCAATTGGACTAGTTGAAGCCATTGCTGAGAATGTTTTGAGGTGCCTTTGCATTAAAAAGGATTAGGAAGTGCTTGCCTGATCTCTTATGGATTCTGTGCACCGAGGACATTAACTTCTTATGAAGGATAGAGCCACCCTGTATGAATTGTAAGGTCTTAGCCCATTGCAGAAAAATCTACCATGAGTCACAAGCACACAGCACCATTCTTGCCTGGAATTCAATTTATACTATGCTTAAGGAAAGTTGGTGATCCCTGTAATTTTAACATTGCTGCCACTTCAGTGATATCTGTTGGGTTAACTTTCAAGTCTTTTTTCATAGAGATTAATATATTTGTCTTGATAACTTCCTGAAACAAAGAGTATTAATAGGAAGTCATGACTGTATCACTACCAACAGGGCAAAGTAAATAACAGGGTAAGTACAAGTACAGCTTTCAGGACTTATAAATCAATGTGGATAATTTCTTCTGGTTTTCCAGAAATGGATTGGATGTGAAAAAAAAAATTAAAGTCCTTTTGAAAGGAGTGACCAAATTCAAAATAGAAGATGGCAGTGTCCTCTCCCATCTACTCATCCATGGTGCATTAACATTTCCTATCTCTGTGAATGACTCCCACCAGGCATTCCTTGCAGCTGTATGCGACGAGCGAGGGAAGACAAGCAGTCGACTCAATATGAGTGATAAAGCAAGCTTCAACTTTATTGCAAAACCCTACACATATTTATACAATGCATACTTGTCTTACAATCATTGGCTTAGCTCTAAAGATTACATTATCATACTCCTCCTATTTGCGGTTACTGCTACGTGGTCCAGGTTCCATCCTATTTTCCTTACTTCTTCTTAGCTGTTTATCACAGCTCCTTTTCCTCAAGGCCAAGCCCTGCAGGTGTCCAGCTGTTTACCAGCTTCCCAATGCCAGATACTGCTACGCGGTCTGGGTTTCATCCTGTTTTCCTTACTTCTTCTTTGCTGTTTACCTGCACAGTGCAAGGTCAGTACGACCTTCTTTTCTCCCTTGCCAGCATAACTCGAAATTTTCCACTGCGGCCTAGTCTGGCTAACTTATGTCAAGATTGAATCACAAGGCTCCTCCATGGAGCCATGACTGCGTTCCCTCATCCATTCTCCAACAGCTGTACACTATGGCAGGGGCAGTGTTGTGGTACTTGCTCATGAAAACATTTTCCAAGCATCAGCAATGATAACCTTTATCCTCAATGCCATTGGCTGGCTTGAGGCTGGAAGGGGAGGAGAAGTTGGTATTGCTGGTGATCTGCAGGACTTTTTCACTCTCCTAAGCCAGGAGAAGATCTCTTACAAGCTAATAGATCTTAAGGAAAACCTGAATGTGTACTGCTGCAAAGCTTACAGTGATGAGGATGTAGAGAAGATTCATGAGTTTGTTTCAACAGGCAGTGGTCTGATGGTTGGAGGACAGGCATGGTCCTTGGCTGCAGTGAATGCTGGTGAGAATGCCACTGCTGAGTTCCCTCGGAACAAAATACTGCAAAAGTTTGGAGTTGGTATCTTAAGAGATAGCACCAAGTCAGCCAGTCTTACATCCTTGATGAGGTTTTCTCACAGTACCACTTTTGCAATGCACTCTCCCAATTTCAACAAAACCTCAAGATAAAAGAAGCCACCATATTCCTTCTGGCTCAAGAAAGTAGCACAGAACTACTCAAGAGTGTTCCTGAGGATTCCAGCTCAGACCTCCCTAGCTATCTGCTCTGATCAGGAGGAGATGTCTGAGCTAGTGCTTTCCCAGGGGGTTCCTGATGTCAGTGCTGACAGCCCAATCAAAGGTAGCTCTGAGGAAATGGTTTTAATCAACATAGCTGCAGAGATCTGTGACAACTTCCCTGATGTATGAAAACAAATATGTGCTCCCAAAATCTTCCAGATATGACTACAACCCCAACTGTAACTGTTCAGATTGATGGAAGAAGTAAAGGTAGGGGATATTTTTCTATTTCCTTCCTCAGCAGCACCCAAACTGTGGACTGGAATGAGGCTGACCAGAGCAATCTTTTAAATATAAGTATAAATCTCTCTGCTTCCTTCCCTCCCCAGCTTTCTTCTGGGATTGCATGCTCACCATGTAATCAGAAATACCTTGGTCTTATGATGGATGCCAGCATATTGATAATTTGATCTTCTGTTGGGTACAGTTTTGGTCAGATGATGAATGAATTTTTGGTTATGCAATAGGGGAGCAGTCCAGGCACATGGCCCATGAGGTTTCCAGAGGAAGTGATTTAACTTGTTGGTTGCTGTGAAGTACTGCTACTGCTCTGTCAAATTTAGGTGCAATGACATTTCACTTGAAGCTGTCATTGCATGGAGCTGTGTGTTTTGTCTTGCTTGAGGAGAGCTCTGGAAAGAAAAAATCCCACATTGTTATGGAGTGTTTCTAGTTGGACATATAAAATCACAAGTCACCTTTAGAGATTGTCCCTCATCCTATTCAGAAAAAAGCATCACTTCCAATGTTTGTTGTTGGGTTTTTTTAGATAAAATTTTATTAGAAAGGTCACCTTGATATCAAGTTTATCCAACTGAACTTTTATGACATGAGGTTGAGGCAGGATTAACTTGATAGTTTACTTTGAATTTTCCTTGCATTTTATCAATTCCCTCATAAATCACTAAGAATTAAAACTTTTCAAAAAAGGTTCAGCATTAGCTGTTGGTCAGATAGGGAAGGATTCAGCACAAAGGTGAAAGCTTCAGAAAACTAGTTTATTAGAATTAGAATTAGAGTTGAAGCTGCTGTTGAGTTTTATCTGTAACTTGAAGACAATTATATGACTTATGTATTTCTGTCTGTATGTATTATCAAATACCTGTGGTTCTTTCTAAGGTCCAGAAGCATGGAGAAGCACTGGACTTTATGTTCCTCCTAGAAGAATAGTCACTCTGCATTTTCCTGCCTCTGCCTTTGTTTCCTTCTTTGCCTTTGTTTCTCATTACACTCAGTAGAACTTTCCCTGCTTCCATTCTCCTTTCTTTGAAGTTTGCCTTGGCCTTGCTGAGACATGAATCACAATTTCTCCCCAAGTTTCTCCTATCATAAACCTCTTTCTACATTTCTCAACTTATACTCTCTCACTTCTGTCCTGAACAATGACTGCCCTATGCAGCTGTAATGGACACACCTCTGATTTTCATCTGCTCCATACTGTGGCCATCTCATGTTGGTCTCATACCTCCTCTGTGCCCTTCTCCTTTCCCCTAGAGAAGGCAGAGATCAAACAAGACAAATACCTATATTGGTGCTTTCAAGATGAAAGGAATAATCCCAGTATTGACAGTGAATAGGATGAGAAACAGTAAGGTTGAATGTTGTCTGTGTGGAAGAGACTACTAGATATTTTTGCCCACTATAAAAATATCTTACTTGCCCCATCTTGCTGTCTTCTGCTATCATCCTGCTTCATTTCAAGGTCTTCAAGCTGTTTTTTTTTTTTTTTTGTGGGATTTGTACCTTGACTCTGAAAACAGCCTTTATGTAATTGTAAGTGAAAAGGGACAAACACTCAGTAGTTACCCAAACACAATTATTCCATAGCAGGGTGGGTTGTTTTTTTCTGTTTAAAAGGGCAATAATAGGACAAGCTTTGGGCAGAATTGGGCAGAACTAGTCTGGGAACCAGGGATTCCCATGACTTTAGTCGCTGATGTCTGGCCCATATGGGCATTACAGTGTTTCAGAGAGTTTGTGGAAAGCAGGTGAATTACTATAAGTGGCGACATTATCCCTTTCCCCAGCTTCCTTTCTCCTCACTCATTTCATATGAGGGTAAGCACTGCTCATGCTCTGCTTTTCACCTTGATGCTATCCATTATATATGGATATGAATATTGTAACATGAATATAGCATATTATATATGCTATAGCAACACAGCTATGGTAGCTGTGGTGGGAGGTAAAGATGCTAAAACTGGGACCAACCAACTGAAATTTCTTCAAAACCAGTGAAATCCCTCCTTTTGAACAGAGCTGTAGAAAGAGAATTCCACCTTCCTTCAGCAACTGATCCAGCATTTCCATTCTCTTCTTCATGGGCCTTAAGTCTGCCCTTGATTTTTTTCATGCTACTTGCATCTGATTGATGTCTGTGCCAAGGTGAAGAATAATGTTCCATATGGTAGCATACTCTTGCCTTTCCCTGCTGAGACAAGAATGCCTTGTTGCCTATGGTAGGTACAGAACACACTGAGTTTGGAGTGGAGCTACCTGAGCGTGTTGCAGTTGCAGTGCCTTTTGGAGACTTGTTCCCCACCAGGTGCAGATTGGCTGTCACACTGATGACCTCAGCTATGCTGCGGAGCTGAAACGGCCTCTCTTGGTGGTAAAGAAGTTCAAAGTTGAAAAAATCACCATGGCAGTCTCTTGTCTGTGGGATGGCCTCATATGCTGTCTATGGCGAGGGTGGCCAAGAGGAGTCCATAGTGCCTAAGGAGAGCACATCAGGCCAAATATCAGTCACAATTAAAGAGGCTGTGCAGGCTCCATTCTTCAGATTTGGTAAGTGGTCTCAAAACCTAACTATAGGCGCAGTAAATAAGTATTTCTGTATTGATGGCTGGCCTATATTTTTCTGGTTTTTTGTGGTCATGTATGGAGAAGACCTCAAAATAATGCCCCATAAAGCTTCATATTTCTCAGTGCGTCTATCTCAGACTCAGAAAGTCTATTGATAGGACTGTCATTTAGGGGTTAATCTGTGTCCATGTTCCCAGTATGAGCATTTCTGAGACACCTTTAAAATGATTTTATATTAAAAAGTTAATATCATCAACCCCTTGCAGTGACAATAGACATGGTGTCATCGAAGATGACTGGATCCCTCACCAGAATCTCAGGATCTCCCCCTGATTCAGTAAAACCCAGTTACGTCTAGATTAACTTATTGTTTCTGAGGCTATAGAAAGAATTTCAGCTATGGTGATTCTCCTCTCTCTTCACACTTAAAATCTCTTTTTAAATTGACTACCTTTTTTCACCTGAATGCTGGAATAGGAGAAACTGACATCTCTGCTTGGCAGTCAACCATCTGTCAGCACCCTGGGCTGAGCTGGCCACAGAGAACATCATCCTGACAGTACCAGCTGCTGATCTACACTACATGGACAACCCAGAGAGTCTGCTTTCAATCTGGAATCTATTGCATTCATCATCTGGAAAATGATGAATGCAATAGCCAGACTGGCAGCCATCCCAGCAACTTTTCCAAGGCTAGAGAGGATGGTGGCAGATGTCCAGATGTCTCATGGCAAGTGTAATAACTACAACATTTTGTCTGTATCTGTGATGGATATTTTTAAGGGAAATACACAAGGCAGTAACATTATCACAAGATCATGCAGATTGTCAAATCAGCAGGTTAATCCCACCAAATTCAAGGAGAGCTCATGAGTGTAAGAATCTTCTGCGAATGTCAAGAGCTTGTACACAAAAGTAACACACTCTGTTGCTAAATATGAGGATATCCCAGGGTAAAACACAGTGGAGGGAGACAGGCTGGCCACAAAATGACATGTCTACTGTGTCATGTTACTCTTTACTGTGGGAGTGAGTTTATGCTAATTGCAACAGAAAGAAGGGAAACAGAGATAGCTGTTTTAGGCAGGACAAATGAGATCTTGAAACTTAAATTAAGACATGTAACAGACACACAGGCAGCCTACTACATAATAAGACTCTCATGTTAGTAGGCATAGGATCACTTACATCAGTGGGGAAATGAGGGTAGTGGTAGGGGGAAAAGTTGTAAGCAGCATTTTGCTATCTGTCATTTAAGAAACATGCTGCCTAAAGACAATTCACTAGGCTAGTGGAACTGAACAGTCTGGGGCCTGTTATGGGTAGTAAGGAGTCTCCTAAAGGCCAAATCTCATGATTATTTGCAATTGATCTTTGTTCGGGTATTGCACTTTTCTTAGTAGGACTGCTGGGTGCTTTCAGCTCTACTTGATTGTAACACTAGAGGTGTTTTCTACGACTTGATAAATTCCTCAGCTGCCCAGGCCACCACTCTGTCAATAATCCACAGCTCTAGCAGCTTAACTAACTCACATAGTGTAGCTGCTGCCAGTCAAGTAGGACTAATTCAAGAGAGGCTTGTTAGAGTGTAAACAACTTGCACTTCAGTTATCAATAACCAGTTAATTATAATTACTAGTGAAATACAACCAAAATAAATAGGTGCTATGTTTCCATGTTCCATGTTGCATGTGCTCCTCCAAGCATATCCTCACTTATGGAGGATTTCACCCGAGTAATCAGTCATTACATCTGGCTACATGTGGCTCTGAATTTAACAATGAAGTTGTAATCTGTCAGTGACTCTGCAACAATTGTGTTTAGATTGCATGTCAGTTGCTCATTTTTGTAACTGCTAACCTCTCAATCTCAACAGGGAACATGGGAATATTATATTTTTCTCATGCAGTCTTACTATTAGTGACAGCCATATTTGAAAATTCAGACTTGGGACACAAAGGTAACATAATTTTCATGAATAGTTTTGTACAGGTATAAAGGATGAGCAGGCAGTTCATTTGGCAGTGCATGTCAGAGAGCAGAGTCCATCCTTTCCCTGCTTTGTTTTAGCTGTATTGACTCCGTAAGCCTCGTAAGCAAACCATGGCATGTATATGACCCAGGCCAATCAGTAGGTTTGTGCTAACACAAGCGGCTGTTCTGCAGTAATTTTTACTGATGCACAGGAAGAACTGATTTCCAAATGCCAGAGTTTAAAATCCATCACCAGATGCAGGTGAACTTTAAGCCACTAGCTCTCCCTTCTCCTGAGCAGTAGAGAAACAGCAGTGTTAAGCAACAGCATGACTCTGAACACATGCATACTTGATTCACAGCTGCTGTGAATTAGAGCTTTCAAATGAGTTTGCACTGACTGAGAAGCTGCCCCAAGAAACACTGCTTCCTTTCCCAACAGGAGTTATTTTAACCACAGAAGGGGAAATATTTGCTGTCTTAACACCTATGAAACAAAGCAACCAATTCCCATTTTTTTCTTCCTGTTTCCTTGTCTCTAAAAGGGTCTCTGTTCCAGACTTACTCTTGTTACAGATATGCAAAGTTTGTTAATTAAGATCATTAGAAGAAGAGTAAGAACAGGGAAAAGAAGTAATTTTAAAAATAGAGACATGTTAGGACAAAATAAAGCTAGAAATAAATGGAAGAACTCATGTGAAATAATGGCTACAGCAATGAGAAATGAGAATGATCACTGAAAGGAAAACCTTGATGGACAGCATAGGGAAGGCCTTGATCTTTGTTTAATGTTTTGTCCGGGGTTGCCTTCATGCTCTGCTTTCAGAGTTGGTATCTGTGTAGTAAGAAACTGCTGCTTTAGCTCATGTCAGAAGCAAAACAGTGTCCAGGCAGTGAAGTTACCACCTGATCCTCAGATAGAATAAATCTGCAGATATCTAGTGAATGTAAAATTGTGGCAACTCGCTCTGCCTAAGGTTCTAAGAGAGCAGGTGCCTCACCTCACAGGATTGAATGTGTTGACAGGAAAGCAGCAGTGGACTGTTTACAATGGTCTATTTTGATCTCCAATATAAATAATCACATCAATGGCCCTTTCTTAAATGCTGCACCTGAATTTCCCCTATGTTAAAACATGGACTATAGCACAAGCCAATTTTTATGGCGCATTTTGAGATCCTGAGCCAAGCAGTTGCTTCTCTTGTGGCTGTGGTTTCTTTTTCTGCTGAATGTTACAGAATTCTTGACCTTGCTGTTGAGGCCACTGGCACACATCACAGGGGACAGCAGCAACAGAGTCAGAGGCTCTCTGCAGCTCCTCCAGATCTCATAGGCCATAGCTGAGCAGATTCTTCAGCAAAAGAACTGGGGAGTCAGGGATACAAGGATCAATCGTTTCTTTTCACTGTGCCCAGATAAACATGTTAAACCTGTGAATAATCCAAAGTCAATGAAGTAACTAACACTAATAATGCTACAAATTGTTTACATGTACATCCAATAGAAAATGTTATCCAGAAAGATTCCACAAATCCCACAAATGGTTTTCCTTCAACCTTTCTGAACTTGAAAATCTTTATTCTATACTTTGAAGCCAAATGTTCAAATGGTATGACTTTTTCTTCTGGCAAAGTCCTACAACTATTCTGTTTTGAAGTTTGGGGGATTCTAAGCTGAGAAATAGCTCATGACTTTATGATTTGATTCTCAGGAATTAAAACCTAACAATGCATGATAAGAGTGCATGAGTGCACCTCAACCCCCATGTCTGAAAAATTTCCACAAAGCTAGTTTTAAATATGCCAGAAAATTAAACTTGTTCCATTTTCTACAGTAGAGGATATTCTTCCAAACTCTGTACTTTTAACACTGATATGTAATGTTTCTGTAGAACCTCTTTTTGCCTCTGGTGTTTTGTGGTGTCTAATTGTTGACAGCAGCAAAAGTAAGGAGGAGCAGTGGTGCTATTTAAGGCTGAGGGCATCTCACTTCAGGGTCCTTGATCATGCTCTACAAGCACTGGTACCATGAAAGGTCTCATGTCTTCTTGGATTCAATCTAATACAGCACATGCATGTGCATATCCACACCATTACTGCTGGTGGACCCTCGCTACCAGCAACTCATATCCTATGTCTACACACTGCTCTCCAGTGGGACTCTGCCTTCCACTAGACTTCAGCTGACTCCACATCTTCAGCGATTTCCGATGGTTCTCCTCCTTCTTGAGTTTCATCTTCTCTCTCGCCTCTAACTCCCTGAGACCCCATCTCACAGGACCTCCTCTGCTCCTTGCTGTGAGGAGTCATCAGTCACTCTCTGCAGATGTCCAATGGTAACACTTTCACTACCAAGACTGGATGAAGGAGTTCTTTCCAGATAGGCAAGTAGAGGAGTACCACCCCTTTTCTCCACATGCAGGTAGGGAAATCCTAGGTGACGTTTCCCCTTGAGAGAGTTTTCCTTTTGGAAATGAAACTTAGTGCAAAGGTATTGTTGCCTCCAGACACAATAAGACTGCTGGGCAAAACTAGAACTCTCCCCCTTCATCCCCGCCCCCCAGTCAAAAGTAACCTGTACAGAAAAGAAATAGCTTTCTATGTCTTTCTGTTTTTCTTTTCAGGCCTTCCTGGTGGGAAGATGTGGGCAGAGGTGATACTGCTGCACAGCTAGCACTCACCATTGACTCTTGTATCCATGAAAAAAGTGCACGTGCCCCAGAAATCACCGGTTTGCATGAATGATTACCAGAGCTCCAAAAGCGAAGAATGGGGCTGTGCCTTTATTAACCATTCCTTTTCCAGGAAGCAAACCAACAGATGCAAGGTTAAGACTGCAGATGGTAAAACTAGCTGAATGTGCATGAGCAGTGCATGACAGGGCTGAGTTCCTCTGTCCAGTTTCTCTCTTTCTGTGAGAATGCTGCTGCATGAAGTTCAGGGCTTTCAGTGCTTGCTTTACAATGACCATCACCTGAGAAATGGCACAGAAGGTGAAGTGATTATGTGTGTCCCTACTCTAGAGGGTGCTTGTTCCTTTTGTTCTCTAAGCCTCTGCCATCACATTGCATCAGAAGTCATTGAACTTCGCTACTGAGAGATGACCAGCTGTGTATAGTTCTCTCTAGGATATGAGGGCTGTGTACTGGCAACACCCTGTGTTTCTGGGACTCTGGAGAGAAAAGCCACTGTTCATCAGAGACAATGACCCCTGGAGGGAGGCCCAGTCAAGGGACCGCAGATGGTGGTGGGGATTGCCTCTACTGTCATGTCTAGGCAGGGTGGGAACAAGGAGGGATGAGGCTCTGGGAACTGGTGGTGGGAGACTGGACAGGTGCCCACTCTTTTGAGCTTCTGAGCAATGCTAAGGTGAGCAGTGTCCAAGTGCCACATCCAACCTAGTTGGAACCAGTGCTGGTGGTTATCATGAGTGCAAGGGACCCTCCCTCTGCAACCAACATGGACTGTGACTTGCTTGGGAAAGAAGAGCATGTGAGACAGGAGCAATGGCTAGAGAGGGTGTCCTGGCTTTTGGCTTAATTTTCTTCCTAATAGCTGATGTAGAGGTGAGTTTTGGATTTAGTATGAGAATAATGTTGGTAGCACAGTGATGTTTTTAGTTGTTGCTAAACAGTTGTAGTGCTTATACTAAGTCAAGGACTTTTCAGCTCCC